TTTTATTGAAGAAGGTATGAACAGTCTAGTAGAGCTGGGGCACGTTAGTACTTTTTATTGAAGAAGGTATGAACAGTCTAGTAGAGCTGGGGCACATTAGTACTTTTTAAACCATTCATGAATAGTTTCTTTTTAATCTTATCTAGAGAACAATCTTATTAACTAACTAGAGGTATGAACTGTTGAGTAAAGCATAGAAAATCTTAAAGCTTGATCTCTATATCCAATGTGGGCATTTTTAAATTTAGAGTTATCAAAGAGGAATTAAATTAATCTGCTATAATGGAAATCACTACTTGATTGCAAGATTCGCAATCGACCAATACTTTTGTTAACAAAATAATAAAGTTTTGAGATATCGTCATTTTTCTATTAGAAAAATTATAAAATTAAAAATATTGGGAAGCTCATAATTTTATATAATACAGTGATAACCAGAAAACTCTAGAACAGGAATTCGATTTTAAGCTATGACTTTAAACAGTCCAATATTGCACATGAGTCACAGCAATTGTGCAGTGTAAACAGACCCATTTCACTTCATAAGTGGTTTAATAGCTTACTAGTAAAACTACTTGCATTGTAAGATCATCAAATATTGCTTTAATATCGTCTTCCTATTCTACAGATTTCTGGTCATCACTGTATTTCTTCTAGAAAAATTAAGGGGATCATTTTTACATTTTACAATGCATGTCTCTGTCAAAATTGCTTAACTATCCCCAGTCCTAATTATTGTTTACTGTAATGAAAAGGAGAACAAGAAATATCATGTTTCATTCATTTATTTTTGATTCAGTATTTAGGTTTATATTTTTACCAACAGATGTCTCATCTTTTTTAAAATCAATTTTGATTGTAAACTGTTCTTATAATTTAGATTTGCATTTGTCGAATGAAATGTATTTTTGATTATTGTAAGTCTATATAAGATTTGTTTGCATATATATTTCTAATCTGTAATGGTATGTTCTTGAAATAAATTATCTTTAAACCCAAACACAAGTAAACAAATTTTTTCAATTAATATAAAGCCTAATTAAATAATATTTTATTTTTAGATTTAATATCTAACTTTAAAAATCTAATTTTAAATAGGCAGCAATTAAAAAATTTTGCGAGTCTTTAACTTTCGAACCTCAAATAATAAAGAAATTAATTTTAATTTATACTTTGATTGTCTGTTTATATCCAATAATGTCAATAACTGCTGAACCGATCGGACTCAATTTTTTTGTGGCAACTAATGTGATCCTAGTAAAAAAAATTAAGAAAAAAAATCCGCAAAATATAGAAGTCATAGATAAATAAATAAACATAGATAGCTTATGTACGCCAAATCACCAAGAATTGTACAGTCCGCGAACTCATACTTCTAGGGGTCAAAGAGTACTTTAATGATAAGCGGGGTGGTTTGGTGTTTTAATGGATTTCATAATAGAGTGTAAAATAACCCCGGGAATGGAACTATTTGAACAACAATATTTCACTGAGCAATATATCATATTGACGAGAACTGAAGAAGGACATGAGAAGGGCTAAACTAACTTAAATTTCTCTCTACAGAACTCATGTACACCACAAGTACTCAATGACATAAGAACAGCCAATGTTCACAACCGTCCTAGTTAATCTATATAATAGGAATATCTTTAAAACATCTCTGTACATTTATATCTTTCAAGATAAAAAATGTCGTCTTATGCGCAATCTATCTTTATTTATGAATGAAGTCGGGTTTTTTTTTTATCTAGAGAGTAATAGAAATGAAAGTTCTGGATCAGACTCATGTTACGGATTCTTATTTTGTAAGAAAGATTCATTTTTTGATCTTTTGATAGACTGTAAAAAGTTAAAAAATTTACAGAGTTAGGGCTGTTTAATTGGGAATTAATGGGACACCATGAACTTCAATCAAATTCAAAGTTTTTAACAGTCTAATAAATGTTTACTGATAGAATATCCAATTTCATTCATTCATACTAAAACAACATTTAGGTTCAAATTGCCACCAAAAGATGTCTCAGCTGATAAAATTCAAATAAATTATTTTGAAGTCATGATCCTTTAGTGCCAGGGTTTTTCATATTTATAATTTTGATTTAATCCAATTAATCGCATTTTTTATCATATTTTTATGTATTTTAATCATAAAATAAAAAGTTATGTAGGTTTAATTCTATAATTTTCTACTTTTAACAAACTAACACTTGTTGAATTATCCATGAGTTCGTCATGGGATCGTAGACCTCCATATTTTTGTAGATTTGATATCTCCATTAGACAAATATACACTGTGTCAGCGAATTTGAAGATTGCTGAAAATCTTCAAATTCGGCAAAATATCTTTAAAAGAAATTTAATTTTTGCCACAAACCTGAATTTCTATTCCATTTATTTTTTATAAATTTTACACCAGTTAATTTTATATGTTATAATTGGTTATTTCCGTTTGTTAACGAATTAAAAATAAACACTTTTTTAATATTTATATATTAAAACTTTCTGAAAATCTAAAACTTTTAGCTTGTTAACAAAATTCCAGAAATATAGTTGTCACTGGGAACTAGCCAGAAGGAGAAAGCAAAATTCATTCTTCACAACTGCAGATACCACTTTACAACTGCAGGATTCAACTGCAGGTACCACTTTGTGCCCTCGTTTACAACTGCAGATACCACTTTGTGCCCTCGTTTACAACTGCAGATACCACTTTGTGCCCTCGTTTACAACTGCAGGTACCACTTTGTGCCCTCGTTTACAACTGCAGGTACCACTTTGTGCCCTCGTTGCTCCTCCAGGTTTGATTTACGCAAAAGTTTGAGAAAAGCAAATTTTGAAAAAAAATTTAAAATTTAAAACATTTTGATTTTGTAAAATTTTCAAAAATCCACGAAAGAATATTATTAAATAAGAAAATATTTTCTTGTTTTTGTTTTATATTTTTCAAAGAGAAGATGCTCACAGATATACTTTGAAATAGAAGATGGGCACGAAGCGCCCAAAAAGCTTAGTACTAATAAATTTAAAAGATTCAATAAAAGGATTTATGATTAAAAACATCTAAGATTTCAAGCTTACGAGCAATCTAGTTCAGTTAGAAGTGTTTTTAATTCATTCCCATCTTGTTTAATGTTTATACTGATGTACTAAACACTGTAATATCCAATTTCATTCCTTCATTATAAAAACAGTATTTTTGTTCATAATCCTTCCACAAGGTGTCATAGCTGATAAATGTTTAATGATGATTATTTGAAAATGTTCCCTTTCTTTAATGTGGTTTTCTATTTTTGTATATTAACATATATCAAATTAGTGTAGATATTTCTAATCATATAATTTATGAAATTTATTAAATAAAGCAATAATTTGTAATTATTAGATTAGGATGAATTGTGTTAAATTTCAACTTGAGTCGAATCCCTTCTTTATTATAGATACAGCCACTGTTATTATTTTCTGTAAGATCAATATTTTATTTATAAATTCATATATTGATCTCATCATATTAGATCTTATATTTGAATCTCACATAAAAAGCCACTCTGTAAGTAATAAAACTTTAATGGGATCGAATCCAAATTTGATTAATTCCGCCTAACCCATTTCCATTTTTCGGTTCACCGACATAGGGTCAAACGACCCATGGGGTGAACACAACATAGGGTCAAACGACATAGGGTCAAACGAGAAACGGTCATACGCGACGAAGGGTCAAAATGGAAAAAATATCTTGTGTATTAATTCAGAATTAGGTTAGGCTAAGCCAATTTCTGGGCCGAGCGCTGCGGCTAGGATAGGGTAGAGGGCCGAGCGCTGCGGCTAGTAGTTAAATAAACATACAACATTTCATAAAGTTTAGCAGGCAAGCAATTGTGTTTGCAGAGGGGGACTTTTTTGCACCCTGCGACTATTCATTTAAATTAAAGTTTCTCTGCACCCCGCGACTTTTCTGGCTTTCAGCATGCCAGTAACTTTCCCCTTATTAGCGAGACCCCGCGACTAAGACAAATAGCTTAAGGGCAGCTTAAATTGCGCCCTGCGATTTGACCATTTGTCATGTGACCCTAGCTTGTTTTACCCTATGTCGTTTGACCCCCTAGCTTTTGACTCTAGGGCTTATGACTCTAGGTCGTTTGACCCTCTGTCGGTGAATCCATTTTTCGCAACAATCCAATTAAAGGTTCATTATTTACAATGGCTTTTATATGAGATTCAAATATAAAAAATATCCTATGATGAGATCAATATATGATTTTTATAAGTTAAATATTGATCTTGCAGAAGCTTGCAACACTAAATACATTTACACGAAAAATGGTGATAAACTTAAACTCAAATTTTACACAATTCATTCTAATCTAACAATTACAAATTATTGCTTTATTTAATAAATTTCATATATGATATGATTAGAAATATCTACGCTGAATTGATATATGTTAATACACAAAAATAGAAAACCACATTAAAGAAAGGGAACATTTTCGAATAATCAGTATTAATCATTTATCCGCTAAGACACCTTGTGGTAGGATTATGAACTAAAATACTGTTTTCATAATGAAGGGATGAAATTGGATATTACAGGGTTTAGTACATCAGTTTAAACATTAAACAGAACGGGAATGAATAAAAAAAAAAGACTTGAAACTGAAGTGAATTGCTCGTAAGCTTGAAATCCGATCATAACTTTAATTATTAAAGAGCTAAAATGTTTAAAATGTCTAACACGTGACCAAAGCTGAAAACTTTTGAATGGAATATCCTTAATCTAGATCGCTTAATTAATTTGAAAGCTTAATAACAAGAGGAGAAAAAGCATTATTTAATCTGGAGATTTAGAAAAAGATGAGATCAAGCATTGATCTCGATATCCACCATTCTTAAGTTTTCAACTCTGATAAATTAACTTTTCATACTTATTTCCGTATCATCAAAACTAGAGGAGCTTATAGGGGTACCATGTAATGTAGAAACTATTTTATCTTCTCCTTTTGGGCTCTGCAAGCTATAGTTAGCAGTGACAATTATATACCTATGTGCACTAAAAACCATGATGTGCACGCACAAAACAAGCAGTATTTTTCCAATTACTCCCTTTAAACTTAGGCTAGGAACAAGCTCAATACATTTCTGAAATGTATGTTTGAGGTGAAACCAACGGCCAGGTGTTGCGACACTTTAAAGTTTAAACTGTTTAAACATTTGATGACTATTAACTCAACAAAAAAAATTAAAAATGAAAATCAATAAAAAGTAAAATTAGTAGCGATCTAGTGCCAATTTGATTAAGATTAAGTCTAATCCCCCTTTCGTTTCTCGCGATCACTCTCTTTAAAGATACTGTGAAATTAGTTTAAAGTTCCAGGTAAAGAATTAAATGCCAGTTTCTGTACCAGTGCATTTAAATCCTCTATCTGTGTAGCAGTTAGTGAGATATTCTTGTTTTTCTATTATAAATCCTATAGTACTGTTAACCATAAACCTTACAACCTATCTCCGTAAAATGTCGGCTTCAATCAAATCATACCCCGGATCCAAACCCAACCTTTTCTCCAGTAAATAGAAACAACTCGTGCAAAATGTGAAACACGTTTTAATATAGTAAATGCTTAAAATCCGTCATTATTGCTGTAAACAACAAATCTTTGCAACCAAACGGATATTTTATTTTTCAGAAGTAATAAACGTTTTATTCTGATCACTAGACCCCTCTTATTCTGCTTCTACCAGCAAATAGTAAGAACCTTTATAAAATCAAACATTGTTCACAATAAATTATATTTAGGTTAGATTGTGCATTGTGCATTGCGGACTATGGATTAGAAGCGGAAAGTGAGGAAACCAACCTGATAACTATAGACGCCCTGGGCAAAATTCAAAAATAATTGACCGGTTTGCCTCAAATGTTAATTGGGAGGCTTGTTATAATCATGGAAAGGAGCTTAGGTTAAATGAGGTTGACTTTCCAGGAAATGCTGGGTGCCCAAGCTAGTTTTTGCTAAAATCACTAACATTTTTAACTCCACGATATGGAGAAAAAACATTAAAACATAATCCATTTTTCAAAAAATAGATTATTTATTTTTAATGACTAAAATTACTATATTTTTTTATAAGAGAAAAAAAGATAAAGTTCAAATACATAAGCTTTATTAATAAACAAATTAAATTCCTGTGAACATTTGACTAATAGTTTAAAGATATATTATAAAATAGTTTTAAATTGATTGAGTATTATTATAACAGAATCTGAATATGCATTTATAAATATATTGAGATAAACTGAACACATGAATATAATAAGCATATATATAGGAATAAGGGAGGGCAAGTTTAAGGGAATGCAGACATAATTTTAAATGACCGCCATTTTTAAAATGACCGCCATTTTTAAAATGACCGCCATTTTTAAAATGACCACCATTTTTAAAATGACATATTTGATTCCCAACAGTACTCTTTAACCTTTAATCTGAGTAACAATAAAGAAGATACCGTCGTTTTTGCTGACTGGAAAAATACAAAATTGCTCGTGGTACAAATCTTTTACGGCGAAACTATAATTGAAATAGTTAATTTTCAGCTGGAAAAACTAGGATATCTAATTCATTTTTGATAAATCAGAGGGTCACTTATTAATCGCTATAAATCCGTCTCTGTTAGACGGTCAAAAATAATAAAATACACTCTATAGATTCGATGTATCAATAAATTATTATATTATTATCCACCCGTTTTAATAATCAGTGTACTGCATTGTTTATCTAATTGTTTACAACAAACGGTTTTGGTCACCATGCTAGTGGTGTCTCATCTGTAGTATATTCTGATATCTTCGATTTCGAAAATTTTGCAACAGTAAGCGTGACCCCCATGCAATGATGTAATTGCCCGATTCAAAACTGTTCCTCTAAAACCTTTATCTGATCAATAATATGGAAGATATGGTCATTTTCTCGTTTTAAATGGTTTTCCTGCAGTAGAAATGCGCAATTCACTTTTGTATAGAAACCAGAACTGAAAATGATAATTTTTCAGAATTATAAAATTTTGAAATCATTCTTTATCACACAAAAGACTACTGTTGTGAATCGGACATTGCCATCTTTGCATGGAGGGTAACTTGAAAATACGCCTTTCAGGGGAGGGAATTTAGCATAGTATTAATTGGCAACGAGTTTTTAAAAAAAACAGAAATTTAAAAATCCCCAAAATTTTATGTCTTGAGGCTGCTGTCAACACTGTAACCTGCAAAAAATTCATAAAGAAAACATTGAAAACCTAGGCACACATAGATTCAGCCTGCTATATAGATTCAGCCAGCTATATGATTTAGCCTGCTATATAGATTCAGCCTGCTATATAGATTCAGCCTGCTATATGATTCAGCCTGCTATATAGATTCAGCCTGCTATATAGATTCAGCCTGCTATATAGATTCAGTATATAGATTCAGCTTGCTATATGATTCAGCCTGCTATATAGATTCAGCCTGCTATATAGATTCAGCCTGCTATATAGATTCAGCCTGCTATATATATGATTCAGCCTGCTATATAGATTCAGCCTGCTATATAGATTCAGCCTGCTATATAGATTCAGCCTGCTATAAAATGTGCATCAATTTTAAAGACAGGGTCGACTCTGAAGTGTCGCAAACAAGGTTGTATAAAAAGGTTGGTTACTCTCGATGCGCTCCTATGTACGGAAAATGTCGTCTCGTAAGATAGATAAATAAAAACCTCATATGACGTCACTCTCGCCTCTGTAATCAGTAACGTCTTATGAGTTTTTATCTATCTATCTTAGGAGACCCGAGACGACATTTTCCTTACATTGGAGCGCTTATTATACAACCTTGGTCGCAAAAAGTAAGTCTTTGATTTATGCTTTTTTTTGTAGCCAAGAAGACATGCAAATCGTGAAACTGTAAAAGCACTTTTTTATCTATAATCTTTAAGAAGAAAATAGAGCTGGTTGAAACTTTTCTATTCTTTATTCCTTCACAAAGCAGAAATTGATTATTTATTTCTACGCATTAAATTAATTCCTGTTGAATTTCCGTTAAGGTTAGACTAATTAGAAGCCACAAAAAGACTGTCTGACACCTTGAAGCGATGGCGTAAATCTAAGTTTTCGCTAAAAGTTCTGACTTCTAAACTGATTAAATAACTAAATTGGAAATATTCTAAATTTTCTATTCTAAATTTGAGGAATCAAAAATGTACAGAACTTAAAGGGAGTTGACTCTTTCCAGGAGGGAGGGGTGGCTTCCAGATGTTGGAATATTCCTAATCCCTGTAAGCACTAGAAGCCAGGCCCTCCCTCCCTCATGTGCACAGTTTAAATAGAACGAGAGTAGAACTATGGAGGAAGAATAGGGTTTGTTTACATTTTACTATGACGTATTAGGACAGATTTTAAGAGAGGTTTGTGGGCCGGGTTTGAGCAATCATTGTCTATAAACCATTGTTTGGTTCGGTGTCAGATACTTTCCCAAAGGCATTTTCCCAAGAGTTCCAAGTGATAATTTCCAAAGTGGCAACTTCCCAAATGAGCAATTTCCCAAGCGGCAACTTCCAAAAGGTCAGGTTAGGCCAGCGCTGCGTCTAGGACAGACTTAGAAAGATACCGCTTGGAAAATTACACATTTGGGAAGTTGGCACTTGGGAATATACCCTTGGGAAGTTGCCACTTTGGGACAGGCCTTTGGGAAAGTACCTAATATCTTTGTTTACAACCAAACTAGTTCTAAAAATGTCCTTGTCGGTCACATTAAAGTGTAAAAAAAACCTTCTCGTCAGTTCAAATCTGTATGTGTGTTGACCTGTAGCTGAAGTAGACTTTACGTTCACAAAACTTGATTCCATCCAAACCAAACCAGGTTTCACTGTACATATATTTACAATGTGGTTTAAAACCAAACCAAACTAGGCTTCACTTTACATATATTTACATCGTGTTTCTAAATACCATTGTAACCCACAAAGGATGAGATTTTAAGGGCATGTAGGGGTTTAGGCTGATCCCTAATTTAATTCGGTTTCGATCGCTACCAACTTTACTCCTATCTGATGCGTTTATAAGGAGAAAATGGTTTAAAACTCATAGAACCCATATTATTCACTTAGTTGCATTATTCAAATCAAACCTTAAATAATTAAATTAAATTTAAAACTGATCATTCAGATTTTACAATTTATATATGTCCAATAAGAGGCAGTCAAATATAGGGAATACTTTATAGTATTTTTATTTCATATGAGATCCGAGTGTTACATGTTACTTATTCCCGAAATTGTGAGGAATTTTAATATTGAAGACGACACCCTGCATTGAATTTACCTTTCTTCAGTCGTGGAAATTAACATTAAATTAAAATCTCATAAAATATTATGAATAGTCTTGAATCTTTTAGTAACAATGGCCAATCTGTATAGTGCATAATATGAGTATCTAAATTGATAACTAGAAAACTATAGAATAGGAAGACGACATTAGCGTGTTACTGAAGTGCATTTGATGTTGTGACAAAGCAAATGTTATTTAATGACTTATAATCAAGTGAAATGGCTCTGTTTACACTGCTCAATTGCCTCATGTTTATAGGATTATTATTTTAAAGTCATAATTTTAGTTTAATAGTCGACTTTATATTCCAGAGTTTTCTTGTTCTCCCTGTATAATAGTTCCAAATATAAAAGATTAGCCCAGGCTCTAATTCAAACTTTATCGTGCTCAATGCTCATGTTAAATTTAATTATTAGAAAAGCTTGAGTTTAAAATCTGATAATATTAGAACGGAAATCAATAAAGAAAGTTTCTAACATGAAACATTTTCTCCTTTCATGGTTGAACTAAACTTCAAGGTAGATAAAAATGAAAAATTCATGAATATTGTTTTTTCAAAATTTTGAATAAAATCATAAAATTCAGTCAAAAAATGATAAAATGTCTCCTAATCGTGAAAGTTAAACAACTCTAACAGAGCTGAAAACTTTAGAATGGTGGATATCAGGATTAAGGCTTAAACCACTCTTTTTCTTAATATCCAGTTTAAATATTGCTTGTTCTCCACATGAATTTAAACTCCAGAGAAGCAAATTGATCTGACAATTGGATATTTCATTCTAAAGTTTTCAGCTCAGGTCAAATAATGGGATTTGCCAAATTTTCTTTTTTAAGCTTTTCTTTGGGTAAAATAAGCAGAAAGAAAAAAGCCTGAATAGATATTTTATAATAATATTGTAAAAATTTTCCTGAATTCTTCTTAAACTCCAAATTCTGAGAATCTCTAAAATATTCAATCAAAAATAAAACTTTCAATAAACCTCTCTTTTGGGAATTTGATCAAAACAAAATACTCTTCTTCTGTTAAATCAAAACAGCTACGAATGGGCAAATTATTAAATTTTCAATTCGGTTCAAGTAACAGTTTTTTAACACAAAAAAGTTTTTTTATTTTTTATTTATTCATTGTCAACTTTCAATCTAGTACAACAACTACAAAAAAAACATGCAAACCCGATTTTCTTGCAATTTAAAATAAAGGTTATTTTGATCACATTTAAAAAACACTAAGGTTATTTTTGGCCCACACATGTTATTGACTAGTATTTGGCTGAGTGAGAACGACATCTGATATTGTAAATATGGACGGGGCATCTGCGCAAGTGTGTACACTGACCTGGGAAACTGGTTTATCCCTTGGCCCTCCGCCAGGCACCGTCTACTGGGATGGGGAGAACAAGACTTACTGTTTAACCCTTCAAAACAAAAAATTAGAAAATATTTTCTTTATGTGAACTGTAAGCGTAATTTCAAGTGACCATGCAATGATGGAAATGCCCAATTTGCAACAGTACCCTAGGAACCTTAATCTGATCAAAAATGTTGAAGATACGGTCGTTTTCCTCAAAAAGTGTTAAATTTGTATAATTTCTCTATTGTTTCCTAAAAGTCAATTTTGCAGAGAACCCATAAATGAAAATGAACAGTTTAAAGAAACAAAAACATGGATATATAATTCATACTTGATCATACAAAGCTTTTAGGCTGGTACCTTTATGAAATTTAAGAAATTCAATCTATTTTAATTCTTGAATAATCATGAAAGAGTGATTTTTAAATGAATAATTGATTATTTGATTTATTGGTCTATCAATGTTTTTTTTATGAATTGAAGAAGGGATTTATTGATAGATTTATAAATTGATTTATTGATAACTTGATGAATGAATGAATAACCTGGGGTTTGTGTGCAGTAGTCTACTATAGCTTCTGTAACCTTTAATCAACAGAATATTCATTATTCTATTCAATCGTATATTCATTTATCTATTCACCTATTCATTCATTTATTCAACCTTTTATCTATTCATCTATTGATTCATTAATTTATCTTTTAATTTATTCATTTTATTTGTTCATACATTTTTTCATTTATTAATTCATTTATTCATACTTTTATCTATTCATCTATTAATTCATTAATTTATCTTTTTACTTATTCATTTTATTTGTTCATTCATTCATTTATATATTCACATTTCCATTCATTAATTCATTCTTTTATGCATTCACCTATTGATTCATTGATTATATAAATTCATCCTTTATTATATTCACATTTTCGATTTTTCCTTGATTTTTCAAAGTTTTAATGAAGTAATGATAAATTGAGGCATGGTATTCAAATTTACTAGTTGTTAAAGTTTGATATGTTATTTCAAACTTTGTACTAAACACTCCCCATTGATCTCGATATCCACCAT